ATATATATATATATATATATATATATACCAGAATTATTAGCCCCTTTTTTATTTCTTTTAAAATATTGTTTAACAGATTAAAGAAATTTTCAGTATGTCTGATAATATTTTTTTCTTCCGGAGAAAGTCTAATTTGTTATATGTCGGCTAGATTAAAGCAGTTTTTTATTATTATTATTATTATTTCAAGGTTAAAATTATTAGCCCCTTTAAGCTATATATATTTTTTCTATAGTTTACAGAACAAACCATCATTATACAATAACTCGCCTAATTCCCCTAACCTGCCTAGTTAACCTAACCCAGTTAAGCCTTTAAATGTGACTTTAAGCTGTATAGAAGTGTCATGAAAAATATCTGGTCAAATATTATTTTTCTAGCATCATAGCTAAGATAAAATAAATCAGTAATTAGAAATGAGTTATTAAAACTATTATGCTTGAAAATGTGTTGAAAAAATCTGCTCTCCGTTAAACAGAAATTTGGGGGGAAAATAAACAGGGGGCTGATAATTCAGGGGGGCTAATAATTCTGACTTCAACTGTATATACAGTATTTAAACATATTAAATAGATCACACTATAACCCACATTTTGTACAACAAAATTTACGATGTGCATAATAACTGTGACAAATTAAGCATACAAACAGGTCAGCACTGAAAGTTGAGATTGACAGCATGGAGTTTTAACTAAAATAAATAATGATAATAAAAAAAGAAAAGAAGATTTAAAAGAAAGAGAAAAGGCAAAATATATTAAAGTGAATAGGCTGGAGGGGTGGCATGTTCTTCAAACTTGTGGCTTTACTTCAAGAAAGGGTTGTATGGTTGTGCCATTTTACCACTAGTGCTCAGGTGGAATTATGGACAACCATGGACAACCATTCAGTCTGCAGTAAATGCTATTTTACCATGCTCCAAAGAATAGCAAATAATATTGGGAAACTTGATCACTGAATCTTAAAGGTTATATTTAATTTTTTCAAGTTTAAAATAAGGCATCTTTAATCCATTGAGTCCGGGAGAAGGGTTGAGGACACTTCCACTGCAACAATATACTGCAAATGAAGTCCATTGGGTCTATTGGTGAATTTGGACATGAATAAAGTTCTAAAGTGTTATAAAGTGTCCACTTTTCTTCAGTTATGATCGATGCAGCAGTGATGATGAATCTTAATAAGCGTTGGCATGTTTATAGGCTACTTTCTTTACTCAGCCTTTTCTCAATGTAAATTTCACTCAATGTCGAGAGGGATTTATTATTATTATAATGTTTCTCCTTATGGGAGAAAAAAATTTATGGTTATGAAGGTCAACATCTTCCTCATTGTGGTTGGTTGATTTTTTTATTGGATGATTGTGGGTGGTTGATTTTTATTGGATGATTGTGGGTGGTTGATTTTTTTATTGGATGATTGTGGTTGGTTGCTTTTTTTATTGGATGATTGTGGTTGGTTGATTATGTATTGGATGATTGTGGTTGGTTGATTTTGTATAGGATGATTGTGGTTGGTTGATTATTTTTTCCCCTCATCGGAAGATTGTGGTTGGTAAATTCGGACATGAATAAAAGGTATAAAGTGTCCAGTTGTCTCCAGTTATATTTATTGCAGCAGTAAAGATGAGTGTAGACAAGGGTTTTCACATTTTTTGGCTACTTTCTTTTCTCAGCCCGTAAATTGTTTGGAGGGATTTAATGTTATATATTTTCTTCTTGTGGGAGAGGAAAACAAATGAATGGCAGTGAAGATCAAGATGCCTTCGACTGAACATTACAACCAAAAGTGGCCTGTTTGGCATAATAGGAGCATGTTGAATCACTAGATTTGGTGCGTTTATAATGGGAATTGATTATGTGACACAAATGACATCATCAAAAAAAAAAAAACAACAACAACAACAGTGACGCCCATGGTCCAAAATAAACTAGAATAAATGTGGACTTTTTTTGTGTAACGTATACATGTTTTTCTTTTTCCTATATATTTCTCAGAGGCATCATTTACATTATATTTATATTTATAATGCATACATGTCTTGATACCCAGGGTTACCCTTAAAACTGCCCAAAGGTTTGGGTGGATGACATCCGAGGGTGTGTGTGTATCTGGGTCAGTCAGTGTATACCATACAAACTAGGTCGGTCCTGTGTGTGTGTGTGTGTGTGTGTGTGTGTGTGTGTAGCTTTATACAGTCAGATGTGTTTGCACTTGTGTGAAACAGGAAACAAACTATTGTAAAAGATCTTTTTATCTTGGAAAGTATGAGGAAAAAGGGATAGAAAAACCATATTTGGTTACATATTTGGAGGAGACTATTACAGTAAAGAGATTATTTTACAGTAACAATGTAATATTTCACCAATTCATTTTCAAGTCTACTTGCCACATATTGGATCTGTCCAAAATGACATAATAATAAATATAATTAATAAAATGTATTTAAAATAAAAAATATATTTTACGTTATAAAAGTGACAGCAAAATGTATCTAAAATATAAAAAAAAAATAGTTTCAACTCATTTTATTTATTCAAAGAAATTTTAAAGTAGAAGAATAATTTTATTAATTAATTATTGAGCTTATTCTGCAATGCATAAGTGCGCTCATTTCTGTAACTGTTTTACAACCTACGATTCAGTTTTCTATGGGAGAAATTACTTGTAATGACGGTCAATCTGCTTGCTCTACAAACAAACCTGTTAATGACTATACATCACAAACACATAACACATATAAGAAGAAATTAATACGGTAACAAAATATCAGTTTTCAACATTTCAAGCAGCATAACAAACACTTTTCAATGGCTAAAAATGAATGGAAGTGAATGAGAGCAATGGAAGTCTTGAGCTGCACCTGCTCTTACCTGAAGAATAAGCTCAATAATAAGTAATATCAAGTACTCCTGAAGCAGCAAGTCACTAAACTGAAATGATTTACAAAGGATCATGTGACACTGGAGACTAAAGTAATGGTGCTGAGAATTACCTTCTGCATACCAAGAATAAATAAACTACATTTTACCTTACAATAAAAGAGAAAATAGCTATTTCTTGTAATATTATTTCAAAACATCACAGCATTTTAAATCAAATACTGCACATACAGCTGTGGCGAAGTTAAAAAAATCTTGCATTACCGGTTTCTTCTCCTGGAATGCGTGTGGTGTTGAAAATCCTCTCACACTGAGCAGCACACAAAGGAATATTTAAACCGGGAACACGACTCTAGGAAAAACAAAAAAGTGGATATATTAGTCATAAATGTGATTTTATAACCATTTTCACTAAGTGTTACAATTAAGAAGGGTCACTTTTAAAATATTAGATTATAAGTGGCAGATGATAATCTTTTATTTAGCTATAGCTACATGCTAAAGACTTTGCTAAGGTTCAGGTACTAACACTTTTACAGAGCTCTATTGTTAAAAGCAGTCCCAGACAGAATCTGCAGACTTTATTTTTGCTATTTCTGCACAGATTTTTGTATATTTTTGATTTATGCAGAATGATTTTGAGAGTGCAGTAGTATATATATATATATATATATATATATATATATATATATATATATATATATATTGGCGACATAGTGGCACATTAGGTAGCACTGTCACCTCACAGCAAGCACAGTTTGAGCCTCGGCTGGGTCAGTAGGTGTTTCTGTGTGAAGTTTGCATGTTTTCCCCGTGTTGCCGTGGGTTTCCTCCATGTGCTTCGGTTTCCCCCACAGTACAAAGACATGCAGTACAGGTGAATTGGGTAGGCTAAATTGTCCGTAGTGTATGAGTGTGAATGAATGTGTGTGGATGTTCCCCTGAAATGGGTTGCAGCTGTCATTCGCTGCATAAAACATATGCTGGATAAGTTGGAGGTTCAACCCCAGATTAATAAAGAAATTAAGCTAAGAGGAAAATGAATGAATGAATATATATATATATATATATATATATATATATATACCTATTTATTTTAATATCATTAAATGGATAAATAATTTAAAAACATAACTACTAAAAAAAACACTAGGGAAATATATACTGCAAGTAATATTTTACTAGTTTTTTTGTTTGAATTACAACTAATTATTTATGTAAAACATTTTTACCTATTTATTTTAACATCATTAAATAAATAATTGATTTAAAAACATAGCTATTTAAAAAAAATTGCATTTTTCTAGGGAACTGTTATATCGTAAGAAATATTGTTATAGAAAAACTCATCGCATCCAGCATCGTGAAGCCCTAGTCCCCTTTTTTTAAAAGTATATAAACTCAGTACAGAGTCCATTACTGACACACACAGTCTTCATTAGCCATCCATATCCTAGCAAAGTTCAATGCGGAGCTAAAAACAGCTCTGTGATCAATCTCTGTCATAGCTCGGGGCGACAAGAGGTTTCACCCCCCACCCAACACCATCTGCCACAATGCAATGCGGACTCACAGGTTTGATTTCCTCTCGGTTGAGTTTCCTGCGGTACAAGAGACACGCGTGCAGAGTATTTCCTGCTCGCGCCGCTTGAATCGGGGTAGGCGTCACGTACAGAAAGTCCTGGGGATGAAAAAGAAGGGCTTTAAGCTGAAATGACATCATCGTTAAAACTTACTGCAAACTTTGTTTGCACATACCATTCCATAGTAGTTGCTGTTGATCATGATTGGGCCACGCCCCCTCAGGTAGACATACTCCTCCCACCAATCACTGACCTTAAAGACGCAGAAACAGGAATTAATTCAGAATAATGCTGATACAGAGTGAAACTGCAGTTCTGGAGTGTTTGAAAGTTTGTTATAAGCTATTAAACCTATGGAAATCAGTAAGGCCCAATCCCAATTCTATTTTTGTACCCCTACCCACTCCCTTGGCCCTTAAAACAGAGTGTTAAGGGAAAGGGCTTCAAAATTTACCTCTAAGAAATGAGATAGCACTACAGCACCTGCACACATCATCACATGTCATTGTGATGTCTTGCTTCATATAAGATTGACGATGGTGACTGCTGTAGTTATTCCAGTTGCGTTGTTTTTGGCATTTATCTTCAGGAAATCGCTGAAGGCATATATTATGTTATTATTATGATCTAATGTGGCAATAAGATCGTAACTGTACTGTGTGCATTTATACAGTGGCCATATTCATCTATGCAAACACAAGAAAACAACATGAGCATTGTAGCAGATGCTGTAAAAAGCTCATTGTCAGCCACTAGACTTTTCCGACAGTGTATTGAGTGTCATCGAGTGTCAGAATGTTGTGAGACTGCAGTATAGAAGGTATTATTATGGATTATAGATAGCCAAATTAAGCGTTTTTTTATTTTAGCGTTTTTTTTTTAAGCATGACAGTAAAACACGAGCGCAGTTATAAATGTATATACGCTTGTTTGTTGTGAAAATTCTTAATAAAGACAAAAAAAAATAATAATTTGTGTATCTCCTGACCTCCGGGTGTAACTATCCTGCCATTGTGGCTGGTTTATTGTGAGAAATGTTCTTAGCCCTTGGTTTCGAGTGTGGTCCTGAAAAATCTATTCACCCCTTCCCCTAAGCCCTACGCCTTCAAGCTAAAGAGAATTGGGACACCCCTACTTAATGGTAAGAGCTAAGGGGTAGAATTGGGGTTACATTTTTCAAAGTATCTTCTTTTGTGTTTAACAGAAGAAAGACAAACTGGTTTAAAACAAGGATAAGTAAAGTATGACGGATTTTTCAGTTTTGGGTAAACTATCCCTTTAAGTCAACAAAGTAAAGATTTTCAATGCTCTCACCAACCTTATAAGTAAAAATACATTTTTATAGATGCAAAAAAGTTATATGTGGTGTCTCCAAGGTGTCTACATAGTTTTAAAAGTTTAATTTAAGAATATTTAATACCAGTTTTTTATAAATATAAGACCATCAAACCTGGAAATCATGCACACTGTACATGCTGTACACACACACAAACAAGGATTTTTCTTCTAAATGGTATAGACATACTACATGGTACCAATTTTTACTTGACCTGCCAACATTTTCTCTAGTCTAAACAAAAAAAAAAAAAAAAAAAAAATTCAAAATAGTTATTTCTTAGCCACATATTTTAAATAATGTGTCAAAACAATCCAAAAATAGTTACAGGGGACCCTTTCAAAAATGTTTAGCTTTGTAAACGTATATAGAAAAAGAAACATTCTAATCTGAATATTGAAAATGTTCAAGGATTTAAGATGCTGTTGACTGTCAAATACGTAATAACCGTGTTGTGAAAAGGGTTCATAGTTAACTTTTCTTTTCCAGCTTTTCTTTGCTGGTGCTAGGTAGCCCACTACATGGCGCTCTTGTCTTAAGGTCACTTCTTTCCTTATGTGCGCAGGTTGGAGTGCCACATCGACGCATCCGCTAGTTTACTTGAGTGCATGCGCCGAATATGACGTCATCGCGGAGTTTGCGGAGGTTCGCTTTGGGTGCGCGCGACTTGATTTCGGCTGGCGGAGCGCATGATTTTTTTTGAGACTCGAGCAAACAGTTCGTGCGGCGCCGAAACTGATTTGAGTTGAATATGAAACACTTTGAAGAGATTTTGTCTGAAACAGGCACGACTGTAAAACATCTTTATGATTTGTGATCATAGAGAAAACCTGATGAGCAGTAGTTCTTGGCTAGAAATTGCAACAGCCGTGGGTAAGGAGGACATTTTTTGTTAAAAGCTTTGGAAAAACCTGAGGGATAAGTTTGTTAGCCAAAAGAGGCCATGGCAAAAGTGGAGACCCAGGTACACAATTACAGTAATATGTTTATCCACCATTCATGGGTTTTACACTGATGTACAGGTTACAATTTAGAATTTAAAACAATTTAATAGTTACGAAACCAAAATTTAGGAACAAATTATTTCTTTGATGACTGGTAAGGAATATTTGAACTTACTGGTTTACAATATACTGATGGCCTGTTTCTCTAGGCTTTATTGGTGATAATGGTCAGGAATGTTGGACTAGCAGCCAGAAATGTGTGAATTGGGCTAAATCTAAAAAAAAACAATCTGTACCTTTTAGTTAGTGTACTTTTTTTTTGCTTTTAATCTTGCTAAATTAAAAAATATTTGTAGAGCAACTCATGTTCTGTTGTCAGTAATATTTTAATAATCTGTCTGAGTTTACAGTCAGTTTCTTCTGATCGCCCCCTGTTGTTTTGAAGAATATCACAATGCCGAACGTGGCAGGTATAAAAGTCCTGTCCATTTCGTGAGGTGCGCGCGCAGTCAGCGGAGGTGAGCAATGCGACGCCAGGCGAAAGTATAAATCCAGCTTCACAGGAGTGTTGCAATGCCGGTGATGAGTGCATGATAAAAGGATTCCTCTTTTGATTCCATCTCACGTTTTTTGGCTTGACTTGTACTGCCTGATCGGTCTCCTCCAGCATCAAGAATTTTTGTTTGTTTGAAAGATTATTCATTTGGAATTTGATGCTCGTTTAAATTGATTTATTAAATTCTCTTAAATTATTATTATTTTTTTATTTAATTGATGGTGTGGACTCTTGTTTATGTTGCAGACTGTCTAGAGCTGGATAGTTTGTAACAATAGTTAATATATACACTTTTTATTCAACAACGTAATAACCATAGATGTGTCAGGAAAGAGCAAAAACTAGTTTGTGCACCATAAATTATAATAATAATAATAATAATAATTTTTTTTAAAAAAAGTAAAATGACTCAAATATTTTAAAGCATTTCACAAAATGTCCCAACTTTACAAAGACGGCTCACCCAAAAATTTAACTTCAGCTATCATTTACTCTCTCTCGACTCTTTCTTTCTTCAGATGATCACAAGAGAAAATATAGTGAAGAATACTGGTTGCTGTAACAGTATTATTTTCCTAATATGGAAGCCAATGGGTCCCAGAAAAAACAGCATTCTTCAAAATATCTTCTTTTGTGTTCTTCAGAAGAAAGAAACTCAGAGAGAGAGAGAGAGAGAGAGAGAGAGTAAATGATGAGAGGTGCACCATACTTTTTAGGTTGTGCAGTTGAATATCTAGTGGGTTGCTCTTACATAGTTGGAGGCCCACAGTGCTTTGAGCTTGAGGTACCACTGCAGGCGGTTTCCCAGACTGCTCTCAAACTCTCTGGCCAGCTCCGTCATCCGCTCGTACTCAGAGTCATTCATCAGTGGACGCACAGACTCCAGGTACTAGACAGAGACAAACAACACAGCTTGGAGTGTTAAAGGTCTCATAAAATTAGAATACAGTATTTTAGATATTAGTATCAGTATGTTAGTCTTAAGGATATACTGTATATAAGCTAGTGTGCTCCAAAACAGTGACAAAATTCCCATTTAGAAGATATAAACATCTAAAGCTTGCAGTTTGTCACTTCCGTTTAAATAAATGAATGTTGTGACATCACCTCATACTACAGTTTCTCATCAAATCTTCTGACCAATCAAATGCTCTGTAGATACACCCCACCCCATTTACTCAACTTGAAATCAATCACTCTAACTGGCAGAGTTGTGATAAAACAAATGCTATTGGCTGCTTTTTTTAAAGGGGAGGAGCTACTATATGTCCTGCCCTGGTCTTTAAGTTATAGTTTAGAGTTATCATATTGGTATATGTCATACATCAGGGGTGTCCAAACTCGGTCCAGGGCCGGTGTCCTGCATAGTTTAGCTCCAGCTTTCTCCAACACACCTGCCTGGAAGTCTAGTATACCTAGAAAGAGCTTGATTAGCTGGTTCAGGTGTGTTTATTTAGAGTTGGAACTAAAATATGCAGGACACCGGCCCTCCAGGACCGAGTTTGGACAACAATGCCATGCACGAATCACAGACATGTGTGATAAACTATTGCATTAACTTTAAGTATTTGTTGTTTAACTAAAATTGATTAATCACATGGGGCCTTGCTATCCTTGGGCCCTCCTCCCCAGTAGTTTCTGCTCTGCTGAACCCAGAGCTGAATATACACTAGTGGGAGTTGTGGAGAAGAGGGCAGACAGCCAATCAGAGTCAGACGATCTTAAGTGAGAATCCTGAATGAAGTTTTCACTTATTAACAATGTTTTAAAGACTATATATTTGCAGCTTGACATTGGCGTTTTTTTTAGCCTGAATTAGAATTATTTGGATCTGAAAATGATATTTGACCTGTTCATTTTAACAACATTAAATTAATGAACGATTTAAAAACAGAAATAATAAACAAATTGCATTTTCAAGGGAAATGTTATATCATAAGTAATCACTTATCAATCCAATCATGATCAATCACAATCGCAGTACTCATCAACAACATCGCTTATTTTTCCCTGTGTTGTGCAGCTCTAACTTTAAAGCACATTTTTACTATATGGAGTTGTGCACATAGATCATCTTAATGGCGGCCTCACCCTCTTCACTGTGTCCTTTACCGCAGGAACTGGCAGGTTTGGCAAAGAGCCCTGATAGCTGTACAACAGAGGCTGCCTGCCAGAGAAGATCCGCACCATAGCCTGAAAAACAAGACCGTTTAAAAGTTATAGACACAGTTCAGCCAATAATGGAAAAATCTTCCTTTACATGCATAGAGATGGATGGACATTCAAGTATGTGCAACTTAATTCACATACAGTACATCCAGTGCAATAATAGTATACAGATGGTACATATGACATAGAAAAATCTGTGAATAACTGCTAAATATGGTCTTTTAATAAATATGCCTCTTATTTTCTAGCTGAGTGTAGATGTAACGTAATTTTGTAATCTACTGTGATGTTTTGAACGACAAATTAAAAGGAAACAGAACTGAAAATATCACTCTGGTATGTTAATTGTAACTATAAGACAGGGGTTCCCAAACTTTAAAGCCCGCGACCCCCAAAATGACAATGCCAGTGACTCGCGACCCCCATTATCCTCTGAAGTTGTTATAAATACAGAAACCTTGCATGCAATGGCACACAAACACCAATAGACCCAACTCTATTCTTCGTTTAATTTTTTTTAATGTATGTGAGTGCTGTAAATGGGCCAGAAAGTTTAACCTGGTGTCATAAAATCAATCTGCTGCATCTGACGCTGTTGCAGTGTCTTTAATATATTGTAATTACCCCAGGGGTCGCAATTTAACAGAACTAGTAACTATAAGCTAACGTAGTAACTATATAGTAACTATAAATTACGATTTTTTCTCTTCAGTAGATTATGGATAAAATATGGTAATTTTTATGGTTTAATAAAAATAAATAGATTTTTGGAAATCACCAGGCGATTCCCCTTCATTGTCCAGCAACTCCTCAGGGGGTCCCGACCCCCACTTTCAGAACCAATGCTATAAGACATTAAGATAACATTAACTACAATACTATAAACTAATATACGATACTATAACCATTAACTCTCATGAAGAATTCAAAATGTGTTACACATTATTTTAAGGTGTCGTTGTTATGGTGTAACTATACATTTAAGTAAAAAATTAAATTAATTAATGCATGTACTTACTAGATGGTCTGGGTTAAAATGCAGATCAGCTTTAGGATTAATTGCATGTGATTATGCATAATTAATTGTAATTACTATGGTAAGGTACAAGGTGATTTCCGTGCGGAAATTGTGCTGCATGTCAGAATCTAGTAAAGTGCAAATGATTTCTGAACCCAATAACAGGTAAAAAAAAAAAGATTAAAATAAAAACCGGCATTACCTGTTCCACCCGTAGTGTCGTCTATATGTTAAAATGCCCTTGCAAAAGATATATACAGTACATACGGGAAGACATCACGTCAGCTGAAGTTGCAAATTAGTAAACATAAATCTAGCATGCAATGACAAGATATAATCTAACTTCAGCAGTAGCAACACATTTTAATGCATTTAGACATGACATTAACCAACTAGAATGTATAGGAATTAAGGAAGTATACTGGTCATGTAGAAGAGGTAATTTGAATAAAAAAAATCTATTAGGAGAAAGGAGAATATTCTGGATTCATAAATTAAAATCTAGGGTTTGGGTTTGGGAACCTTTCTGTTAAGAATAAAAACACACTAAATCAGATAGTTAAGTGGTCCAGTAAGCTAACTGGGGTGTCACTAGCCAATCTGGAGACTGTATACATCAGGCAGCTAAAGAGAATTACAAATTGGACACTTGCAAGCTGGACACTTGGAGAGATTATTTATCTGTTTGTTTTTAAAGGTAGAGTTTTGTATGTCTGTTTCATGTCTATGTCTATTCGTTGTTTTCGCTATGTGAGTTTTTTTTTGTGTGTGATTAAATGAGGAGTCTTGACTGCAAAGTAGGGCTGCTCGATTACGGGAAAAACCATAATCACGATTATTTTGGTCATAATTGTAATCACGATTATTCAAAGCGATTATAAGTTTAAGTCAAAATTATTCACCCTTATTTTATTTTTATATATAAATATTTCCCAAATTATGTTTAACAGAGGAATTTTTTTTATAGTATTTCATATAATATTTTTTTTTCTTCTGGAAAAAGTCTTATTTGTTTTATTTCAGCTAGAATAAAAGCAAATAAAAATTAAATATTTAATTAAAGTTAAATAAAAAAAGTTTCAATATTTTGAAACCTGTTGTAATAGCTCGATATTATTAGCCCCCTCAAGCAATATATATTTGTGATTGTCTGCAGAAGAAACTACTGTTACATAATGACTTGCCTATTTACTCTAATTAAGCCTTTGAATGTCACTTTAAGCTGAATACTAGTATCTTGAAAAATATCTAGTAAAATATAATGTGCTGTCATCATGGCAAAGATAAAATTGTCAGTTATTAGAGATGAGTTATTAAATCTGTTAAGTTTCGATTAATGGTTTTTCATTATCGTTAAAAGCCGTAATCGAAATCGGATTTTCGATTAATTGCACAGCCCTACTGCAAAGCAAATCTACCTTCGGGTATAAAAAAGTAGCACCATTTACTACTTGCTTAAGGCTGATTTATACTTCTGCGTCAAGCGCAGGAGTATGCTACTGCGCGGCCTACGCGTGGACGCATAGCCCTCACCGTGGCCGTCGGCGTTGCTGATGTGCACCTTTCTAAAAAATGTAACTACACGTTGTAAAGATGCGTAGTGCAAGCTCTGTGATTGGTTGGCTTGGTAGCACTGACGAGTGTGGGCGGGACCAAGAGCTGCGCGAGCTCGATGGAGCGATTGTTTACAAGTGTGGAGTCCTGTGAAGGAGCTCCGGATGGAGACTGCTGTTTTGTGTTTACCTCATGGTTAAAGTTGTTTCACGTCTGCCGGTTCCTGCCTCAAAATGAGCGAGTTTGAACCACTTGTACATTAAGGAAGCATTCGGAAAAAACAAAACACCAGCGAAGAAACTCAACACAGAGGAACAAACACCTCACAGCAAACTATTGTTTCGGAAGTGTTATTGCAAAGCAAGAGAAACAGCGCGCAGAAGTATAAATGCACAGCTACACGCGTTGTATGCGCTGTGGGTCATGCCGATCACTTGCCACCAAAGTATAAACCAGGTTTTACTATCTGCCTATGATTAAGATATTAACTGTTTATAAGCACTCATACTAATTAGCAGCTAATTAGTACTTTACTGAGCTAAAATCTTAGTTAATAGTTAGTTAATAGTGTGAATTGTACAGTAAAATAAAAAGTTACCACATTTTTTTTTTAGCTTGCTTTTAAAAAAACAGGCATTGCAAAACAAGCTATACAAATATACTGGCATTGATGTGACGGCAGCACTGACGCAACAACAAAGCAGCGAAAAAAGTCAGTTTACTGATCAATATCAGCAGTTTTTTTTGCATCTGTTTGTACTTGCGTCACAGGACTCGGCCTTTATTTACCGTTACGGGATGTGCTTTTATGTGTCAGGTGTTTCTGATACTCACTGCCCAGATTTTGGTGGTGTTGGACACTTTCCCGTGCTGCTCAAACATCCAGCCGTGGTACGACAGCAACTGCTTCAGACAGAGCCTCATGGTGAAGATGAGCGAGAACCAGAGCAGAGTGCTGAACAGCACAGCAGAAACCATCGTCCGGCACTGAACGCTCAGAGAATCACTGCACACAAACACACACAAAATAAATCATCCCAAACAAGAAAAATTCTGTCATCATTTACTCATCATCCATCCAAACACATCTGAGTTTATGTCCATAGCTGAACACAAAAGAAGATACCGTTAAGAATGTTGGGGGAAAAAACTGCCACTGACCTCCATAGCATTTTTCTTATTACTACTGATGTCTATTTTTCCAACATATCTTGTTTTGTGCTCAGCAGAAAAAAGAAATTTGACTACATGCAATTGAGTGTGAATAAAGGATGAGGAAATTTTCAACATCTTGTGAACTGTCTCTTTAAAGCATTTAATACTTGCTTTCAATGAACTTGTAGATAATGATGATTAATAGTTTACGATAGTAAATCACGAATAAGAGGTTTGACATTTTAAAATCATT